CTTAAAGAAACCAAAGCTGTAAATTAAAATGATGTTACGGGTGTGATTTAAGCAAGAGATGACAGGAAATGCCAACCAGTGTGCAGATAAGCATAGCGAGACTCGACCAAGGTCATAGCAGGAAAGTTTGAAGTCCCCAGATACCAGGGCTCCTGTCCCCTACATAGTCTCCTGTGTCCCCCATGCCCCCAAGACCCCCATGTCCTGTGTCTACCCTTCTCAGTGCAAAGCGTATGAATTGGGACTCTCACTGTGGCACCACGTCCCCATATGCACCCTGTTTGTTCACAGTGACCTGTCGGGCCAGGGCCGCACATGGAGGATGCTAATCACATCCCGCTTTGGGGACCTGATATTAGAACCCAGAGGTCAGGGGGACTGAGAGACTGAGGCCACCATCTGGAGATGGCCCTGAGTAAGTGGGTATGTGAGTTCATGGAGACTATCTGCAGGAAGAAGGACGCAGCAGTCCCCAAAGACAGGAGCACATGGTGGCCACCCAAGTCAATGTGAAGCAGATGTTCCTGGGCTGAACATTTGACGTGCACTACCTCATTTGACTCCCTGCTCTGACAGGCAGGTGCAGATGAGGATAGTGAGGCAGAGAGAGCTTGGGGAGAGCCAGGACTGAGCAACATTGAGTTTTGTGAGGTTCCCCTGACATCCCTGAAAGGATCTCAAGCTTCTGTAAAGAGGCCTCTGTCATTTACATCAAAGAAGCCTGGAAACACTGAGCAACCTGCCCTTCTATTCCTTCTCTCTGGGCATGTGCACACTGGACATCAGTTGCTGGGAAGGACTGGAGGGCTGTTTGTGATTCTCGGTTCTGTTTTCTTTCTTTTCCTTTTTCCTTCCTTCCTTCCTTCCTTCCTTCCTTCCTTCCTTCCTTCCTTCCTTCCTTCCTTTTTGAAAGAGAAAGAGAGGGAAGGGGAGGGGCAGAGGGAAAGAGAATCTTATGCAGGCTCCATGTCCAGCCAGAGCCTGATGTGGGGGTAAATCTCACAACCATGAGATCATGACCTGAGCCGAAATTAAGAGTCAGATGCTTAACTGACTGAGCCACCCAGGGGCCCCTGGTTTCTGTTTTCAATACCAGGTAAACCTAGTGATCCCAGGTCTAGAGGGTGAGCTGAGCTGATACGGGAAAGCACCCCCATCCTCCCCTGATACACACATAAACTGATAGACAACAATTCAGAGTGCTCAAAGTCATCTAAGGGCATGCAGTGTGGCTCCAAAGCATGACAGAGGTTTCCAGAGACAGCTGCCCACCTGCCCACGTTATGGGTTGCCATGATATAGAGCACCTCAGTGGTCTTTATCCGCACCATGTCATTGTTATCCTTCAGCAAAGCTTTCAGGCTCTCCAGGCAGCCTGCAAGGCACAAAAACCTTTGAACATTTACCATTCTCAGAAATCAATGAACCTAGAAGTCAACAGGTAAGCCAATGTTGGGCAGCAAGAGACAACCAGAGGCTCCACTGCTTTGGGGCCTCAGGGAATCACTTACAAGATATTTCAGAGTATATAAGATATACAGAGTGTATAAGATATACAGTAACTTGTATCAGTTACAAGATATTCAGAGTCACCAAAGGGGTCTCTTTGTGCTAGAAAGGCTCAAATCAGGGGACCATTTTATCTAATGCCCTGCACACTTCCGACCAATGCCTCCTCTCACAGCCCACTGCAGAATTAAGAAAATGGCCTTTGCCTTTAGACAGACTGAGGGGCCAAATTCTCATCCCTGTCCTAAAGCAGTCCTACCTGTGAATGGGCTACACCTAGGGATGCCAGGTTGAGCAAATAAAAATCCTGCTTTATTTATTTATCTGGCAACCCTAACCTCATTTCCTTCCTCTGAGCCTCTGATTTTCATCTGTTGGTTTTCTGAGCTTCCCTCCTGAAGCAGGTGCTACTAGGATTAAGATAACACAGGCACTGCACTGGGGTGTTACTGGCCCAGGGTCAGGCTTATTAAATAGCAGCCCTTATTGTTGAAGCTCCACCCAATGTCCTAGCTCCTGGTTCTAGGAACCCCAGCCAAAGCTGGAATTAACTAGCCCTTCCACTAGGGCTGGAGGGAGAAGAATCAGTTCATCCAGCACTGGGTGTTATATGGAAACCAACTTGACAATAAACTATTTGTAAAAAAAAAAAAAAAAAAAAAGAATCAGTTCATCCATCATGTGCCTGGTCTGGGAAAGGTGTGACCATGCCATGAAAGTCACCTCAAGTCTTATTTTGATAATTAGAAAAGTGGGACACAAGGGACATATAGCTCCCAGATATACATGTGGTTTTAATAAGGTGTGTCTATCTTTTGTGACAGCTTTGTGAATGAGATACATAAGCAGAGCTGTTTGGTGGATTTGTGGCCACCTGGTTGAGCCATAGCAGAGGGAGCTGATTTGTGGTTCTGGGTGGTACAGACTGGTGGTGTCTGGGCAAGTACTGACTGACCAGCCAGGAGGGATGCAGTGAAGGGGCCAGGTCACCTCAGTCCCTCCTGCCTCGAGCCACTGTCTGTCCATCCAGACCCTAGTTATGGTTACCCAGGCTGTGACATTCTCACCTATGTCAATGGCCACGTAGACATGCTCAGGGTCATGCATAAGGTCACACAAAGCCATGAGAGCTTTCTGCCTCGTCAGCAGGTCCTCTGACTGCAGCTCCTTGTTCAGCTTGGGTAGGGCCCGACAGCCATAGGCAATGGCAGCCTGGGTGGGGTTGATGTCAGGTGGCAAGTACATGGAGATCCGGGCATGAGCCATCTTTCCACGCCTGCGAGGGCAACCTTCTAGCTTTCAAAACAGAGCTATGCAGAAACCACTGATGAAGAGAATCCAAAAAGTTGTTGTTATTACTACTGTGATTTAGAAGCTACTTCTCATTCGATCCTCAAAACTGTAAGGGTAGCCAGGTGGATACTTTTACTTTCATTTTACAGATGAGCAAACTGAGGCTGAGAACAATGAAAGAATCTTCTCAAGATCACAGTAAAGGTAAATAGCAGCCCAAATTGCAAACTCCAGAGTTCTCCCGAGAGTAATGACAGAGGAAACCACTAGTACTTCACAGGCTGGGGAATGTAAAGGCACAAAAGACACAAAACGAAAAAAGCAAACACTAATATGGTCACCATATGTAGTACTTATCTTATGCCAGCAATGCCTAGTATCTAATTCAACTACTCCAGAAGGAGGGGACTTGTGTTATCCCAAATTTACAAAGGAAGTAGTTGAGGCTTAAGGGTAGAAGTTTGCTTCAGGTGGTGGAACTGATAAGGCCAGGAGCCAATGTTCAAATCCAGGTCTACCTCATTTGTCCATTAGGGACCCATATCCAGATGCTCCTGACACAACCACAAAAAAGGAATTGAGGATAAAGTGTGATTTATTTCTATTAATTACAAACATACACACTTTGAGCGACTATAGGCAGTATGGCTCAGTACAGCTGACCCTTGAACAACACAGGTTTAAACTGCATGGGTCTATTTACACGTGGATTTTTTACAATATGGTACTTTTTTTACATAATATACTTTTGCATAAATACTTTTTTACATAAATACTTAACGTATTTTCTCTCCCTTATGCTTCGTTTTTTTTTTTTTAGTTTATTTATTTTGGAAGAGAGAGAGCACACACCTGTGCACACAAGTGGAGGAGAGGCTGAGAGAGAGAGAGACAGAGAATCCCAAGCAGACTCCTCATTGTTCGTGTGGAGCCCAAAATGGGGCTGGAACTCACCGACCTGAGTGAGGTGAGATTATGACCTGAGCTGAGATCGAGTAGAATGCTTAACCTACTGAGCTACCCAGGTGCCCCTATGCTTTTCTTTTTTAAAAAATGTTTATTTTGAGAATGAGAAAGAGTGGGGGAGGGGCAGAGAGAGAATCCCAAGCAGGCTCCGCACTGCGGAGCCCAACATGGGGGCTCAATCTCATGACCCATAAGATCATGACCTGAGCAGAAATCAAGAGTTAGATGCTTAACTGAATGAGCCACCCAGACGCCCCCCTTTATGTCTTTCTTAGTAACATTTTCTTTCCTTCAGTTTCCTTTATTGTAAAAATATAATATATAATAAATATAATATACATGTTGTTTATTTTATAGGTAAGGCTTCTGGTCAACAGTGGGCATACTAGTAGTTAAAGAGTGACTCAGAAGTAATATGTGGATTTTCGACTGTGAGGGAAGGGTAGTGTTAGCACTCCTAACCACTAGGTAGTTCAAGGGTTCAACTATAGTTAAGAACAGGCTCCAGACTTGGGCTGTGGGTGGCCCTTGACAAGTTACTTCTGTCTGTGTCTTTCTACAGCTGCAAAAGGGAGGTGATAATAGCACCTCCTTCACTCCCTCCTAGAATTGTCATATGAACTGCTGCTCATGGGCCTGCCACACCAGGCTCTGGACACGTCCTCTGCAGTTACTATTATAGTGGTGGTGGTTACTTCAATTAGTCGCAGTGACAGTCCCAGCCCTGTAGGAATGGTCAACTCCAGTAAAAGAGGTGAGCCAGACTCTGATTCTGGGCACCAAATGACCAGGGAAAGAGGGTAGGGGGCCTACCTGGAAGGGACGCGGCCATTTCTGGACTCCCCTCACAAGAAAGAGTGGGTGCTGGGGACAGGGGCCTGGTCTCCTCTAAGGACCTTGGGTTCGAGAGTCCAACCAGATGAGAGAGCCCTGGGATAAGAGGACGTGAGCCCAATGCGAACCCGACTGGATGGGTCTGGGGACCCCCTGTTCCCTTTGGCATCCGCTGGCTCACCTGCCTCAGTGCGTGGTCCCGGAAGCGCACGCCGTTGCCAGGCGACCAGGTTGCCAAGCTACCCCCGTGGCGTCCTCAGGGCCTGCCGCGCAGGCGCAGGATCCCCGGCTGGGAGGAGCTGTGAGTGGGGACAAAGATACTTTACAAGGTTACTGTGAGGAACAAAGGCAGCTCAGCTTTGTTCATAGTAAAAAAAGGAAGGGAAGGGAAAAAATGATTGTACGCTCTGAATTGAACATTGCATGCCTTTAATCCTCAGAGCAAACTCGTGAAGTGATAACTCCCAGTTTACAGTCAGAAACTTCAGAGAGGTTCAGTACCTTCGTTTATATCACACAGGCCTGATCCCGGGACTATCTAGCCCTGGCCCATGTTCCTTGATCTACTTTCTGACTACCTGATAATGACACTGATCGGCTCCTGCAGTGGACACAACACATTGTTGGTTGGAGTAATTGTTCTTGAAAGCAAGCCAGACCCAGCCATCACCTGCATAAAACCCTCCTGTGGCTCCCCACTGGTCTCAGGACAGATTCCAAACTCTTAGCCTGCCACTTAAGGCCCAGGGTCATGGCCTCCTTAAGTTATGCTGGGTTCTAATTTCCTAAATGGTCAACTCTTTCCTGCAGCCTGAGCTTCTTGTAACACTGACCACCTCTGTCCTTCACGACACAACTTGATGTACACTTCCTCCATGAAGCCTATCCTCTCCCCAATTCCAGGTTAGAAAACGTTCCTGCAGCTTAATTTTCCCAATGGCAAACTTTCTCCTCTAATTCGCTATTTATTTCTCTGTTTCGTCCTGCAGACTCCAACTTCCCTCAGAGTGGAGACCACGTCAGTCCTGTTTATGTGTCTTTCCAGTGCCAGGAATATACTAGAAGGCTTTCAGTAAATGTAGAATAAATGAATGGTTAATGGGCTTGAATCAAGATTTATAGTCTACAAAGCACCTTCACCATCTTGTGTGATCCTCACCACAAACCCTTGAAGTAGAAGGTCAGGTTCATTTTATAGCTGAGTAAAATGAGGCATAGGAAGAGGTAGAGCAACTCACATAAGTCCTGAGTCTTCAGCACTGAAACTTAACAAAGGCACCAAGCATTAGCCTCCAGCACATTTAGCTTTGAAATGAAGATAACTAACCTAGATCTGTTGTCCCAAGGATCCCATATGGTGATGTGGAGATCTGCCCCCTAATACTGTATTTCCAAGGACCTAGTCATAAAAGATCTCTCTAAGCCAGAGCCTCTTAGCTTTTTTAGGGAGGTGGTGTAGAGAGCAGTGGACTAGGAGTTCAGGAAATCTGGGTTCCAATTCTAGTTCTAACTCACTGGGGAAATTCTTTTGATTTTGTGAGCCTTAGGTTCCTTATCTGTGAAATCAGGGAGCTCAATCAAGTTGATTCTCAAAGCTGGGAACCCTAGCTAGGCCTCTCAGAATCTGGTTATAGAGTCTTTTTTTTTTTTAAAGACTTTTTTAAAAAACATTTATTCAGTTTTGAGAGAGAGAGAGACAGTGTGAGTGGGGGTGGAGTAGAGAGACAAGAGTGAGAGAGACAGAATCGGAAGTGGATTCCAGGCTCTGAGCTGTGAGCACAGAGCCCCACATGGGGCTTGAACTCATGAACTATGAGATCATGACCTGAGCCAAAGTTGGACGCTCAACTGACTGAGCCACCTAGGTGCCCCCACAGTCCTTTTTTTTTTTTAAATTATCCTTGTATTTTATTATTTTCAATCTCCTTTTCGTTATGTTTTTAAAGATACACATAACATTATGTGTAACATATATGTTAATTTATGAAACAAAAATATAATAATCGTCTGTGAATTCACCATGAGAACATTATCAATGTCTGCATCCTCTTCCCTATCCCCATCCTCCTCTCCAAAGCTAACTACTCTCTCATTTTGTGATTACACAGTCTTACAAGTGCCTCTGGAGGCCATCTAGCCCACAGGCTTCACTCTTCAAACAGAAACTAGAATATAGGAGCTCAGTGATTCAAGTCAGCTTATAAACAGCCATTAATTACAGAAATTAATTATAAAATGAGCTCCAGAAGCCAGGCATATGATATTCAGGCATCATTAGATTCAGAACTACACAGATTAAGGTCAATAAATGGTAAGCCACTGTAGGGGGCTGGACTCCAATTAAATGCCAATGCTACAGCAAGAGTTTTTATGCCCTGAATGCAGAGAGGAGGAGGTGTCTGGGGGAAAGACTTGAAGGAGGGAAGCACACCAAAATAATCAAGACTGACTTTGTAGGGCCAGAGATGGGGGATCTTATTATTCTTTGTGTTCCAAAGTGTTTATTTTCACTTGAGTTATTTATTCAATAGGCAATATAGGCACATAGAGGGAAATCTAGAAAGTATGAAAGTAAAATGTCTCCCTCCTTCCTCAGCCCCCAGCCAACAGGTTGTCTTCACTTGTACCTCTGGTAGCTTTCCAGAGCTAAGCTAAACTTATACAAGTAAATATGATTCAAACAATGTTCTCCACCTTCTTTTTTTTTTCTGATTTAATATTCATTCACTCACTTAACGTTCACTAAATGTCTGGTCTGTTTATTTTTATTTTTTTAATTTTTTTTAATGCTTTATTTATTTCTAGGAGAGAGAGAGAGAGAGAGACAGCGTGAGCAGGGGAGGGTCAGAGAGAGAGGGAGTCACAGACTCTGAAACAGGCTCCAGGCTCCGAGCTGGCAGTCAGCACAGAGCCCAACGCGGGGCTCGAACCCACGAATCGCGAGATCATGACCTAAGCGAAAGTCGGGCGCTTAACCGACTAAGCCACCCAGGCGCCCCCAGGCTCTGTTTAATCAATACAATACATGGATGAAATAAACACAAACACCTCTGCTCTCACTGCTGCCAGTGAGGGGAAATAGACAACATAAACAATAAGTTATATAATATGTTAGAAAATAGTAAGTGCCTGGGAGAAACAGAGCGGAATTAGGGGTTGGGAGAATGCTGCAATTGTGTAAATAGGCTGCTTTGGAGAAGTCTCATCTAGCGGTGTTATCCAAACAAACTTGAAGAAGCTGAAGGAGGGGAGCAATGTGAATATCTGGAGAAAGAGCTTTCCAGACCTAGGGAACAGCCAGTGTGCAAACACCCCAGTGCCTGGTGTGTTGCAGGAACAGTAAGAAGGCCAGTGGAGCCTGTGTGGTATGGGGGGATGGGGAGTAAGCAGGTGACAATCAGAGAGGAGGGGCCCCTGGGTGGCTCAACTGGTTGAGCACCTGACTCTTGATTTCTGCTCATGTCATGATCCCAGGGTCATAGGATCAAGCTTCACATTGGACTCTGATTGGAGCCTGCTCAAAATTCTCTCTTTCTCTCTCTCTGCCTCTCTCTCCCCTGCGCTCTCCTCTCTCTAAAATAAAAAAAATAATAATAAAAAATCATTTTATTTAAAAAAATTTTAACATTTATTTATTTTTGAGAGACAGAGAGAGACAAAGCACGAGCAGGGTAAGGGCAGAGAAAGAGGGAGACACAGAATCCCAAGTAGGCTCCACGCTCTGAGCTGTCAGCACAGAGCCCCATATGGGGCTCAAATCCATGAACGTGAGGTCATAACCTGAAGTCAGACGCTTAACAGACTGGGCCACCCAGGTACACCTAAAATAAAATAAATTTAAAAAGAAGAAGAAGAAGATGATGATGATGAAGATACAGAGAGAGGAAATAAGGCCAGAGCAAATTACGTGAAACCTCTTGTGCCATTGTAAAGACTTTATTACTCTGAGAAAGATGAGGAGGCATTGGAAGATTTCCATGATCTGATCTGTTTTAACAGGAGGATCCCTGGGGCTGCTGAACTGGGAATAGGCCAGGGGCAAGGGTGAAGGCAAGGCGACCAGCTGCAGGGAGAGAAGATGATGGCTTGGACATCGGCAATACCAGTTGGAAGTGGAAGAGACTAAGAGGATACTTCATACCAATATATTAAGAAAAACGGAAAAATTTAGATAACCATAAAAATAATATTTAATATTATAAAAATAAATAAATGCTTCACATAATCCTTATCCTTTCCTTTGAGCCACCACCACCTATCCCTTGGAGGCGGGTGCGCGAGTCTCTCCGTGATCAGCCCTCGGCCCTCGGCCCCGCCCCTGGACCCGCCCTGCCCTCCTCCCACCACCTGCCTACCAGTTCCGGCCCTTGTTACCAAGGTGATCGCGGGCTCTCTGGCAGTTCCTCGAGGGTTCTGCTGTTCCCCAAGAGGCTGCGGTTGCTACGGTGACCGACTGCGCTATTAGCGTGTGGGACTCTTTCCGCTGCGAGCCCCGCCCAGATTTCGTCCCCAACGCCCTGGATTCGTCAGACACCAGCCGGTCCCGCGTGGTGCTCGTTGCCATGGTGATCGCTGCCCCGGACCCAGCTTGACCAGGCCGGCCACCAGGCTTCTGGAGCCTTTGCAACCTCCTTGGGTGAGTCCGCCGTACTCTCGTCCCAACCTCGTTCGCTCCCGTATGAGCTTGTCCCGGAGGCCCTAGTTGGGAGGGCTCCGCGTCCCTGCCCTCCTCCCACCGCGGTAACCTGAAAGCCACGGCCTGCAGCCCAGGAACCTGCTCATTTCCTGAGCACCCCGCCCCTGGGCCAGGCCCGTTAGTCCTGAAGGAGAGCCGGGTCAGATCCAGGAGGACGATAGGCCTGGTTAAGGCTTCCGCCAAGGCCACCCTTGTGCAGAGAGGGGAAGGACAGAAGAAGATGCAGGGCTGCTGAATAGGCCTAAGGGGCCAGGCATGGTGAGGTGGTACAGGAAAACGCCTGCGGGCTGAAACCTAAGTCCCCCCCCCCCCCCCAGAGCCTTAATCCCTTAGAGACTAGGAGCAAGGGACCACCCCCTCACCGCCCCAATTCCACTTCCTCCACCTGGGCTGTGATGCACAGCTCAGCATTTGACCAATGCCTCACTCACACCCCAGTGATAAGTTCAGAGAGGGGCTGCTCCTGGTTGGATACCTGGCAAGAGGAGACCAAGGTCTTCCTGACTCCCAGGCAGGACCAGGAAAGCCTGGTCCCCTCCACCCCCACCCCAACCATACTCCCTGCAGATGGAAAGAGATGACCTTTGGCCAGTGTCCCTGACAGAGAAGGAGGCCAGGATCAGTGTTTAAAGCTACTGAAAGTTAAACATAAACTTGAGGCTGAGTCCTTGGGGTTTTGTGCAGCTCCCTAACTCTCCCCTGGTTGGCTCCACAGGACATTCTGGAAGGATGAGGTCCTCCCTGATGCCTTTGGGGCCACCTGTGAGCCGAGACCGCATCATCACCAGCTTCCCTAAGGTAGAGAGTCATAAGGCCAACCCCTTCTGTGTGCTTTATGTCCAAATCCACATTTCTCTACCTACATTCATCACTGGACACAAAGCACCAGAATCTAGGAGGTCAGTCCCTCACTAACAGACCCTGGGAACTTAACAGACTTCTAGAGAAGCAGGGAGATTTGGTGTTGATTTGCCCAAAGTGGACCAGCAACTTAAGGGTGACACCAGGAGACAGTGGGACATAGAGGTTAAAGGCGCAGACTTTGCTGTCAGACAGTCCTGGGTGTGAATCCTGACTCTGTCATTAAACTCTGTGACTGTGGGCAAGTCATTCAACCTCTCAGCTGCTGATACATAAGGATAATTCCTCTCACATTGGGTGCCTAGCTGTTGGTAAATGTGAGCTCCCTTACCTGAGTTGTGGTCACTGCTGTTCTCATTATTATTATTACTGTTATTAAAAGAGTATTCTAGTTTCCTGAAACCAAATCCAGGGCGTCCCTCTTTACCATTCTGCTTTTAGTTTCTGTTGAAAACGCACAGCTCTCTGCCATGTGTATTAAAATCCAGTATCAATTGCATCAGGGGATGCAAATCAGAACAACCCCTATAGGGGGCAGTGAGACAGTATTTTCCACCGTTGTACTGCCCCTGCCTTCTGATCCAGCCCGTTCAAGGCCAGGCATTGAAGCAGTTTGTAAAGCAGAAGGTCAGACACAATTTAAATGTCCTCCAGATGGGGCTGCTTCAACAGCAAAAGGCTACTTCCTAACAGACATGAGGAAGAATGAGGCTTCCCTTCAGGAGCTGATGTGCAGTAATGGCTAAAGTCAATTAAGTAAAATGCAAGGAAATGAGCAGTGTGTAGAGTATTTCCATGGGTGGGGAAAAGGAGAGGGGAGAAAACAAATGTCTGTGTTTGTACATGCCAAAAATATCTCTGGAAGGACACATAAGATCCTGCTGTCAGTGTTTGCTTCCATTTGACTTGGGACAGGCATGGAAGGAAAAATCCTCTCTGTCGAGTGACCTCTCTGTTTTGAGTTCTGTGCCCAAACTGGTAAGGAGGAAGGAGGTGACTGTAGGACTTAGGGTAATTTGGGTCCGCAGCCATATCTTCTCACCTTTTCTTCCTCTACACACCCACAAAGTAAGCTGTGGTGTCTCAAACCTCACCTGTGGACAATTCCCCCAGAATTGTCCATCTCAGCAGAGGCCCAGGAAATTGCTTCCCTAGAGAGCTTGGCGGTAGTAACCAGGGATGATGGACACAGATGTTTAATGAGCCAAAAAGAAGGGACGTGTGATGGGCACAAAACAGTTCAGGGACAGAGGACCCTATTTACAGAGAAGACCAACAAGGTTCAGAGAGGTAGGGAGAGCTGCCTGGCATCACACAGCTGAGCGTAGCAGAGCCAGGACTTGACCTGGGTCTGGCTCTAGGGCTCCAACCTTACCCTACCCTGAGAGAAAGCCTGGGGCATCCATCGTGTTTTCACAGAGGGTGAGATTCTCCCTGCTCCCATCTGTGGCAATTCATCTTTTTTTTTTTAATGCTTTATTTATTTCTGAGAGAGAGAGCATGAGCAGGGGAGGGTCAGAGAGAGAGGGAGACACAGAATCTGAAACAGGCTCCAGGCTCTGAGCTGGCAGTCAGCACAGAGCCCGACGCGGGGCTCGAACCCACGAACCTTGAGATCATGACCTGAGCCGAAGTTGGACACTTAACTGACAGAACCACCCAGGCGCCCCGTGTGGCAGTTCATCTGTATCTCAGGCCCACAACATTTCAGACCTGAGATATTCTTGGTCAGGTGGGGCAGGCCCTTCTGTTACTATGTGCCTCAGTTTCCCTGTATCCAAAATCAGCCCACGCTTCTTGCTCAGTATTCCTTATTACATTTCTTCAGTGCATCCAAAATGGTGGGATTCCTCTAATGACCACTGTGACCAGGCTGGCCCCTATTTTGAAGCCAACATGGAAGTCAACAGGAAAAGGCAGCCAGCTTTCTCCTAAAATAGCTGACACTGTTCCACAAGAATGTGGGCCGCAAAGCTAAGCCGTTCACCTGCATTACCCATTTGGTCCTCCAATGACCATATGAAGAGCTGCTGTTATGAGTATCCCCACTTTACAGATGAGGAAATGGGCCTACTGAGATATTGTGACTTGCCCTTTTGTAAAGCTCCTTCCCTGCTGTCCCTGCTTCCTCTGTCCCACCTGGAACTGTGGGGACAGATTTGCCAAGGAAGAGCCCATTTCAATGCCTGGGAAGTCAGAAGAAACACTAGGGCTAAGGGAGGAGGTGGAGCCCTTGCTATAGGGGAGCTGTGTGTCCAAACAGTGCTGCAAAGGACAGAGCAGGTGGCTCAGGGGACTACTGCCATATCATAGCAGAGAACATCAACAGCCTCCAGTGATGCCCTACTCCCCATGTCCTTACCACGATCCATCCTTAGCCTCTGCTAATCTGAGAGCAAAACATAATAGTCACCTTCAGCTTGTTTAATATCATCTTTTCCAATTATAAAACTAATGTACGCTCAACATGTGTCATGACATCTTAATAGCCGTGAACCTTTGCTGAGCACTTAATATATGCCAGGCTGGGTCTGTGCTGATGGCTTTACAACATTATTTCATTCTATGCCTCCAGGCTTCTGAAGTCTCAACATATGGGGAAATTAAAGTTCTGAGACATTAGACAGCTGCCCGGGATCACACAGCAGCTAAGAGTGGACACAGGTCCTCCTCTTCCTGTTTAAGAGAGGTCGTGCTCTTAAACCATTACCCAGTTCTGCCTTCCAAGAAATATAGAAGACCAAAAGAGCCCTTCAGGACATTTTCCATGCACATATATGAATATTTTTAACAAATGGCATCCGAGATCTATAGAAAGTATGGAAGAATCTTGGAGCTAAAAGGGCCCTTATAGCCTGCCCCTCATCTCACCATGAGAGGCTCAGAGATGACAGACACCTGCCACATGCCCACAGCAAAGGCACAGGCTTCCCCAGGCTAGACACAGCTCTCCGAGTCACCACCTGGGTCCTTTGGTCTGGCCTGGCCTCTGCTGTTGCTCCTCAGGACTCACAAGACCCTGAAGTCTCAGGGCCACATCTATCCGAAGGCAGATGTAACAGAGGGATCAGAGAAAGCTGGTGAAGCTGGAGCTTCAGGGCTTGGGAGGGAGAGAATTTGTAAGCAAGTCATCACCTCACTGCCCTGCTTGGTGATGGAGCCATAGCTTCACAAGATACAGTGCTCATCTGTCTGTCTGTCTTTCTCCAGTGGTACACCCCTAATGCCTGCCTGCAGCTCAAGGAGCACTTCCATGGGCAGGTCAGCAGCACCTGCCAGAGCAGGAACACGGGGACTGTTGGGTAAGTGACCCGCAGCCTGAGGGCGTAGGATGTGTGGGGAGGCAGCAGAAAGGAATGAAGAAATAAATGTATGAATGAACAAATGAAACACAGAGACGACACCTATGCAGCCCAGTACAGGCCCAGAGCTGATGGGGATTTTGATCTGGCTTTGCTTGACCCACCTCTGCCAGAGAGAATGGCTTTCCCTTTTCTCAGTAGATCACACATGACTTTTCTCCACGTATGTCTGCTTGCTCTGTCTGGAATGTCTTTCCTATCCTTCAGCTCACAGTCTAGTGTCAGGGGAGTCCCCCACCACCTTGCTCCCCAGCCTGGGCTGGCCACAGTGCCCTTCCTGTGTGCTTCTGGGGCCCAAGGACTTACCTCACAGAATTACAAGTTTGCCTATCTGGATTCTTCACTAGACCTAGCTTGTGAGGGCAAGGGCTGTGCCTGTCCTGTTCCCTCCTCGGCACCACCTGGCTCCACTGCATTCCTGTACTAGCTCTGCTGGCATAGGGAGTTAGCAGTTACTCCTCTTAACACACAGGGACCAGGGCCTGCTTCTGCCTCTCCTCTCGAGGAGCTCACACTCTGCTCAGGGAGTCTGTAGAGCTCACAGGTGTCATGAGGTGACAGTGGACATCCAGCACTGAGGTTCCCAAGGTGGCACAAAGTGAGGCTGGGCTCAGGTCAGAACGGCCAAAGCAGCCCTGGTCGTGGGCTGAGAGCAGTGACCACCATACTGGTTCCATACAAGGTGCTTGGTGCAGATGACCTCTCTGACCCTTCACAACAGCGCCAGGAGGTACAGAAACTGAGGTACAGTGGGTACCCCCATAATACCTTGGCAGTACCTTTACTTCTTCATCTGGGAAGTGGAGTCAGGGCTGCCCTCCTTCAGAACTAGAAGCCAGCTGGAAGCAGAGAAGACACAGCCTCTGCACTCTCAGACATGACCAGGGGAGCTGTGCCAGGTCACCAGGTGACATAGACAGTGCCTTCTCACTGTCTGCAGGCAGAGGAGGTGCCGGGTCAGATGTTTGCCCATTGAGCTCCTGTGGCATGAGCTACAGAAACTTAAAGTATCACCAGAAGTCTCAGGCACTCTGCCACAGAGAGTGCGGGACACACACAGGGTGAGGCGGTCGCTGTTCTCGGTGAGCAGGGTCCCCAGGGAGCCCAAGAACTTCAGAGCCAGTTTGCCTCAAGCCACAGTTTGGAGCTGTGTCCTAGCCCGAGTCCTGTCTACTCCTCACCTCTTGGGGCCTGCCTGGACCTTGCAGATACCTCCAAGACAGTTGGTGGCAGTGGTGTCCTGGTCAGGGAGTACCTGCTTGCAAAGAGCAAGAGCCCATGTAGCCCCAGAGGTGGGTAGGAGGATACAGGGGCTCCCCACCCCCATGCCTGTATCCTCTGCACATGGGCACTATGACTGCACCAGTGGGCTCCAAGTTTCTTACTGCACCCCCAGCTTGTAGATTGCCCCACCTGGGACTCCTCCTTCCACCCCATCAGTCCAAGACTGAGCCTCTCATCGTGCCCAATTCTTATTCTCATGACAGGGCTTGGGCGCAGTGGCATAAGGGCATGGTCCCAGAGACAGCAGAGTCCCCAGAACAAATACACGCCCTCCTTCTCCCCTTTGAGTACCAGTGATGGGGCTAGACATCCCAGAATGTCTCAGCAGGTGGCCTATCCCCTGTCAAGGATTGAGGGGTAGTTCATGTGTGGGGAGCTCAGGGAAGGAAGGGCCCATATGTGTGAAGATGTTCTGTGGCCATGCTTGAGAGCAACACACCCATGTCCCTCACAGGCTTAGACTCTCCAAGGTAGTTGTCGTTGGTGATCTCTACGTGGGCAAGACCAGCCTCATCCACAGGTACGCCCGCCAGCCACACCTCCCAGCACCACTTCTCACACCTTTGCCTGGGAGGCCCAGATAACTTTGTCATAGTCAAAACTGCATGGCTGCTGGGAACTATATCTCCGAAGAAGGTACGAGGAATCAGGGAATGGCAGGTTGGGTGGAGGGTGCAGCATCTCAGGAGCCTGACATTCATGACACTATCCCTGGGGACCATAGGCTCACACGTCAGTGGCCCTGACCTTCAGAGTTTGTCTCCTGACCTGCTCTTCTACCCCTACAAAGTTCTTGTCAGAAGCTCCATCCATCTACAGTCTATCTCTGGGGACCATCATCTCCTTATATTCCCTATAGGGTGGACTTTTCATTGCTTGCAGACTTTGGCTGTCGTGAGCGAAGCTTCCACACACAGCCTCTCTGATGACTTCCTCAACTCCCACAGGTTTTGCAAGAATGTTTTTGACCGGGACTACAAGGCCACCATTGGGGTGGACTTTGAAATTGAGCGCTTTGAGATTTCTGGGATTCCCTACAGCCTCCAAATGTAAGTTGCCATCAGGTCACACTATTTCCTATGTGGCTCATGGGTGGGCTTTGCGGAGGAGACCCATAGGGAAAGCCTTGGTGAGCTCCTTGTTGACCATGCCCTATGGTACTCAGTGAGGACCTGTCTGGGCAAACAGGAATGGTTGTGTGAAACTGAGTCTCTCCAGTTCCCTGAGGCCTGAATCCTCCCCTCAGTCTCCATGGGTGTCTCACATTGGTGATCAGACCTGGGAAAGGCCTCACAGCCTGATGAGCCTACCCACCCTCATTCTTTCCTGATGCCTACCCCTCAGGTTCTGGCTCCGGGTCCGTGCCCCTACCCTGCCTGGCCCCTGGTGATCCCAGTCACCTCAGACCTCTGAGCATCTGTAAAATGGAGCCAAAAGTGGTCCTGTGTCCTGGGCTCTAGTGGAGGCCACCTAGTCCACATGCCTTCCTCGGGCCTGATGTACCCCCCTCCCCCTCTGCCATCACTCTACTCCCTCTGTTTATCTCCCTCTGTCTGTCTGCTTCTCTGCCAGACCCCATGTTTCTGCCTCTCAGTGACCCACTGGCTTCAGTCTCCCATCTAGTTTCCCTTAGAATAGCCCAGAGTCTTTCTCCCAGGCTCACACTTTCCACCAGAGCTCTGGACCTTCCCTTCCCTCTCCTCTGGCATCTGGAGGATGCTGCAGGCCTGTCTGTGTTACCAGCCCTACCCTCTGCTCTGTGGCTTCCTTCCCCCTTCCAGGCTCTCCTGCATGGCCCATTCTATGCTCTTTGCCCAGCTGCCCCTACATCCCCTCTTGCCTGCTCCCTCTGTCCTGGTCCCCCTCTCCTTTCTCTCTCCCTGGGGCTCACACCTGCTCCTCTGGTTTCATTTCTCCATCCTCTATTCCATGCTTGGGCTTAGCCTGGGGATCCATGGTCATCAAGATGGAGCTCACCTTCTCATGGACCTTAGCTCCTAACTCTGTCGTGATAGTGTTTGCTTCCCTGAGGACAGCCCCAGTGCCATCCTAGTGATGCAGATGGCATTGCTGAATCTTGCCCAAGGGAGAGTACAGGACCAGATCAGAGCAGAAGAGACTGTGAAAATGCAGGGCTGTGGGACCAAGGGGCTCTGGAGCCAAGAGAGCTGAAGAGCACAGAGCTGATGGGGCAGTCTAGGTAGAGCCGTGTAGAGAATGGCCTGTGCGGGGGCCCCCGTTATGGCCACTGACCACATCTAACTAGACCAGACACTGTCCTGGCTTGGCTTCTTATTGTCCTACATTGACGCCACTGCTAGCTATCCAACTGCCCCACCTCCAGGCTACCCTTCTAGCTTCCCATCCAGAATTATCTTCAGAAATGAAAGACAATATGAATGAATTAATGAAAGAATAGAGCCAAAATGTTCTGCATCATACTGAATCACTTGAAAACATTTCAGACTGTTGAGGTCTTATTCATGGCTTGTCTACTTTTCCATTTGCTGAAAAGAGTTAAATTCTGATCTGTTATTTAAAAAAATTTTTTTTAACATTTATTTATTTTTGAGAGTCAATGAGACAGAGCATGAGTGGGGGAGGGCAGCGAGCGAGACACACACAGAATTCAAAGCAGGCTCCAGGCTCCGAGCTGTCAGCCTGATGTAGGGCTTAAACCCATGAACTTTGAGATGACCCGAGTTGAAGTCAGACACTCAACCAACTGAGCCACCTAGGTGCCCCTAACTATTCATCCTAAAAAGGGATGGATTTTCGGACTCAGCCCTGCATATTGACCACCTGGCTGGTTCTAAACCAGAGCCAGGTTTAGCCCTGCATATTGACCACCAGGCTGGTTCTAAACCAGATCTCAGCATGGTGTCCCCTTCTTCTCATGGAGTGTGATCATGGCAGACATCATTAATCGATTGTTGCATTCTTTTCCATAGAGCCAGGGCTCTGCCTCCCCAGAGAGCCAGAGCTCAGAGTCACCGAGGAGATGCAAACCACATCCCTGTCAGATACTCTCACCCCCTACTCAGAAACTTGAGCATCCCCTCTGCTGCAGTGCAGAATGTTGAAGCCATGGCCCAGCCACATATGACCCAGGGCAGATCCATAGCTGGCAGCCCAGCCTGGAGCCCCATTTGCATTCACAGGGCCTCCGTGCAGGTGGATTTCCACATCTGCAGAGCAAGCATATCAGGGAACATACTCTCTTTTTTAATGGTATGGTTCAAAGGGACTGAGCTACAACTCCATTTATCCAGGCAGTGGAACTAGTAGGGCCATGCCCCTCCCCCATTGGCATGGTGAATCCAACCAGGGAACTCTTCCATGGGGCACCGGAAGAGATCATGAGGAATTGGTGGGCGGGGACTACTGGTGGGTCACTGGCACAGGCCCTCAGATCTGGCTGCCTACAGCCCCACCAGCCTGCTGGCTAGACCACTGCAATTGCTTAATCTGCCACCTCTCTGTTTCCCTTTCTGTCTCTGCCACCACACAGCTGGGACACAGCAGGGCAGGAGAAGTTCAAGTGCATTGCATCTGCCTACTACCGGGGTGCCCAGGGTGAGCATCTGGGTAACGGCAATAGTGGGATCTTCAACCACATACAGCGGAGGCTCCCACTGGGCTTATAGCAAGATGTCCAGGTCCTCTGCGCAGACACCAAATCTGTTCTCCAAGAACCACTGAGAAAATCCCTGGCCAGTCCTCCGGGATGAAGAAACTGCCTTCCAGCCAGCCCAGCCTGTGGTTGGCCTCAGCAGTCATATCCAGTCGCAGGGACCCTGTGCCGGTGGCTGCTCCCTGTGAGTCTCAGCCACAGTGTCAGCTCAGAAGGATGCTCAGAAAGGGAGGTGGATGTCTAGTGACCCATGAAAAGGAAAAGAAGAGCAGGCTGGACTCCTGGAGGAGGTGCAGGGAGGCTAGGCTGGAGGGGAGGTGGGGCAGGCCACAGAAGGACTGCACCTGCAGATGGGGGGCAGAGGGGGGTGGCCTGGGCACTGGGCAGGACTCCCAGACAGCAGGTAACAGCATAAGGTCCCCACTCCAACCCCAGCTTCCTAGGAAGAAGGGGTTTCAATGGGAGACATGAGAACCACTCATAGTCTCCAAAACCAGGCTCAAGTTTTGAGGCACAGTATGTCTACTCAGTACTGGTATAAAGAAATCCCAAATTTACCATTTGATATTTGAGAAAAGCAAAAACAGGAAACAAACCATGAGCACTTTGGCCGAGGGTTGGAGTTCTAGCACTGGCGTGTCTTCTCAGGGGGATGACATGCCCTGAGGATGAAGTGTGAGGCACTGGGACACCCCTGGGAACTGCACCCTGGGCCACCACCATCAAGGTCCTCAGTATCCTCCTTCATTTCCATTCTTTTCTGCCTCAGAGAGTGGGGGGCTCCTGTAGCCTTCAGCCAAGGTACAGAGGAAGGTTCTGCCCAGCCCCACTCACACCCCCAGGGCCAATGGAGAGCAAGCTATTCTGGAATGTCCTCCACATGGGGCTTCTCTCAGGACACCAATGGGGTCCTGGGCACCCTGGACTATATGGGACCAGGGTGTGGCCATTGATAAGAGGCACCTAGGGGACAAGGGCTGCATCTCCCAATTTTCTGCCCACCCTGCTCCTCAGAAATTGTTTTCCTAAGGCTGGTTGTTGCAAATTGTCCTCATAGCCATAGCTGCCATTGGTCAAAAGCCCTGCGCCAGGCCCTAGACCAAGCGCTTGTAAAATAGCTGTTCTTGCTTAATCCTTATGGCAACCTGAGAGCCTGAGATATCATTTTCACCATTTCATAGATGGGGAAACTGAGGCTCTCAGCAGTTAAAACCTTCATCTGAGCTCCCTTAGCTGTAATTGTCAGAGGGGATATTTGAACACAGGACCCCATGAGCTCATCTTGCCTCCCTGGATACCTCCTGGGGCTGCACCTCTGTATATGGGTGCGAGAAGGTGGTGGGTAGATAGGTCCCAAGGGGCAGCCATGGGATGTCTCCTTCCCAGCCTCCGTAGTGGGGACCAGAGCCGACTGCCTGGGGGACTACTCTAGAAGTTCTGCAGGAACCAGTCTCCTCTCTGGGTTTCTCTTGGGGAGTAGGGAGCTGCCTGAGAGGAGCCCCTCCTGGTCACACCATGTTTGCCTCACTTGTTGCTGACCCGCTCTTGGCTTCTCCCTGTGTGTGCAGTGATCATCACAGCCTTTGACCTCACTGATGTGCAGACTCTGGAGCACACCAGGCAAGTCTGGGACTCTGTGGCCCCTGGGACTCTGTGGCCCCTTGGATTTGGGAACGCCCGTGAGCTGGGCCCCCAGTGGTAGGTGCATGTGACCAGGCTCACTTGTCAGAACGGACTGCCCATAGGCCACTTATTGTCCAGTTTGCCATATTATCCCTTAAGATTTGCATCCATCTGCTGAAACAGGTCCCATTCAGGATATGCAAACAGCCCAGTCATACCAGGGCCAGCACTCACTGGGTCCTTCCTTTGTTTTTCTTCTTTTTTTTTTTTTTTAACGTTTATTTATTTTTGAGAGAGAACGAGCGCACGTGCACAGGGGAGGAGCAGAGAGAGGGGCCCAGCTGGTGCTGGCACTGACAATGGAAAGTCTGACGTGGGGCTCGAACTCACAAACCATGAGAGCATGACCTGAGCTGAAGTCAGACATTTAACTGATTGAGCCGCCCTGGAGCCCTGAGCCTGTGTTTGCTTTAATGTTCTGCTGTCACCATCTTGAAAGCTTTAAAAATTGGAGGAGGAGCGGCCTCACATTTTCACTTTGCCCTGGGTACTACAAATTATATATATCCAGTCCTGTCTGAAGGGGCAGTATTTGCTGTCTTGGGCAGAGATCAGTCAAGAGACCTGGTAACATGACCAGTTCTGGGAGGCCATCTGCTTCTGCTGGGAACCGTTCAGTTAATGAACCAAAGTCCTTTCACCTCATTTTCATTTGCGGCATTCATATCCAGCTTCTCCCCAACCCTGTGAGGGAGACTGGGATGATCATTCTAGTTGATGAAAGGGCAGGACTTACCCAAGGTGACACAGGTGAGGGCACTGCCAGAGCAGGGTCTTCACCTCCTCTGACAGGTGCTTTTGCGTCCCTACCCCCCTTCAGTCCAGCTGGGGCCCAGCTGGGGGGCAGGACCAGCATCCTTCTCAACTGGCTGGGGTCTAGGTACCCTCCCTGCAACTTGAGGCTCAATGCTCCCAGCTCCGGGGTGGACCCAGGTCTGCACTCCCCATTCCCTGGTCTTCTTCAGACCTCTCTAGGTAGATGGATGCCATCCCTTAGCCTGTTTCCCCTGTGTACATTCCAGGCAGTGGCTGGAAGATGCACTCAGAGAGAATGAGCCAGGCTCCTGCTTCGTGTTCCTCGTGGGAACCAAGAAAGACCTTCTGGTGAGCACACCAGAGCTAGAGGCTTGGGATGGCGCTTGGGAAAATATGCCCACTTTCAGCCCAAGCTTGGGGAATGGAGGGTGGCACTGACATGCTGAGATGAGAATTTGAAGACCAGGAGCTGAAAATTAGAGGCACCTGAGTTCCCTGTGCCTGTCTTGTCTGAGAGGGATCACTGGGGTCTCGCTCCCGGGGATGTGTGCCCCCACCCATGCACTGAGGCTGCCCATCCCAGGGTGAGATGGGGAGGGAGGAGGCCAAGTGGGAAGCGCCTCCCCACAGGGAGGGTCCAGAAAACTGGGTCAGGAGGGCTGCTTCTCCCAGTCAGGAGCTGCATGTGAGCAGGCAGAAGTAGAGGCTGTGCGCCTGGCCAACGAGATGAAGGCTGAGTACTGGTCGGTGTCCGCTAAGACAGGTGAGTTGCCACAGTGCATGCAGTTTCCTTCTGTGTCTCTATGGGATGCTAGAGTCACAGCCAGCTGTGCTGGTGACCATGCAGGACCTTCCGTTGCCTGCGAGGAGTCCCCATCTCTAGAGGCAGACTGGGAGCCCTCCCTTATGAACAACAGAAATAGTGACACCTGGCCCTAAGTTTGTGTTCTGTAATGCAACCCCCTCCCTTCTTGAGGCAGATCCATTTTATCCCTGTGGGTCACATCCAGGGTCACAGGGAGGAAGTGGTAGGGCTGGGATTGGAATATAGCCCTCACCTGTAATCACTGTACCATCCTCCAGCCTCCAGCCTCTGTCCTCCAGCCACACTGACTGGGCCCCCAGCCACACTGAGTCCCCGGCCCCTGAGCCACCTTCACCCATGGGTCACTGCTTACTGTATCCCTGGCAAGATGCCTAACATCTCTCAGCCTCAGTGTCCTCATCTGGGAAATGGGTGAGGCTGTCCATCTCATTTTGTTTTTACTGCAAAGACATATTTTAAATTACAAAAGCCATATGTATTCACTGAGGAAAAGTTAGAAAATGCAGAAAAGCAAGGGTCACACTTTAAAAACACAGGTTGTTGCCTGGGATGAAATGAAATAACATGCAGTGCCTGGCTCATAGAAGGTCCCAGCGGTTCTGGGGACTCGGGGATTATGTCTTGTAGTCCTTGCCCTGGGTGAGGGGCCAAGGTAAACATCTGACCAGGGCCTTGGGGAGACAATGGTGGGAGTGCTGCGGGTAGGCACCACAGGGGGAGGCACAACCTCCAGCCTAACACAGATAAGAATGTGGCAGTGGCCATGCTCAGTTGCCTCTGCCCCTTCCTGACCACATCCACCATATCCTATGAGAACTCACCCTCTCAGAGTAACAGAACATTCCCTGAGAATTCCCCTATGGGCCAAGCAGGATCGCCCTGAACAGTTGTATAGGTTGTTAGCTGCACAAGGGCTGTGTGCATGTCAGGAGTTGGAACCTAGCCCTGTGCCTAGGTGGGTGGCCTTCTCCACCTGGAGGAGGATGCACAAAGGCTCCAAGTGGGAGGTGACAGCATATTAATCTTCACAGCTGCCCACTGGACAGGTGCTCAAAAGTGACAGGTGAGCAGACACCCTTCTAATCTCCATACATCCCAGTGCCTGGCCCATAGGAGATATTCAGTGGTGAATAATTGGAAGAGTAGATGCTGGGAAACCAAGCCTCAGATTTGCGGGGGCTGCCAGGGCAGGGGGGCCCAGAGCCCCCTGAGTGGGTGGCCGGGCCAGCCAGCCCATCCCTTGCACTGTGTCTCCTCCGGCAGCCCTACAGGTGGGCGGCCCTGGCCGTAGGCTCGCACCCACCAGCTTGCAAATTCATCTGCAGGTGAGGGCAGAGGCCACAGGGTCAGGGGTGTCTCTTGGGCCCACAGGGGAGAATGTGAAGGCATTCTTCAGCCGCGTAGCCGCCCTGGCATTCGAGCAATCGATTCTTCAGGACTTGGAGAGGAGGAGCAGCGCGCGGCTCCAGGTCGGCGAAGGAGACCTCATCCGTGCGTACAGACAGCAGGGTGGGGGCTGGGGAGCAGGCTTGAGGCCTAAAATCTATGTCCACCATCCTCCTGTCCCAAGAGGCCATTCCCTTAACTTGTCCCCCTGTGCTGTCCTCTCTGGGCTATCCTTTTTGCATTACTCTGACCTCAGGCCCACAGCATCCCTGACCCTGCCTGCCAGCTCAGACTCCCTCCCTGGCTCTCCTTGCCCTCCCGCCAGCTTCCTCATGAGCCAGGCTGGGCAGTCCTGGCTGCACAGATGTGTCCTGGCTTTGGCTCTTCTAATCTGTGTCTTTGCCCACACTATTCCACCACCTAGAATATATCTTAGGTCTCTTGGCCTGTGCTGGGTCACCATGGCCTTGATTGAGAGGCCCAGGAGGTCAAGCTCAGCTGGGACCAGCAGAGTCACCAGAGGGTAACAGCGGCAGGGGAGGGAAGTTGCCCAGTGTCAGCTACAGGTGCTTAGTTGATGCCACATGACTTTTCGCAACCTTGCAGGAATGGAGGGGAGACCACCCGAGACCCAGGAGAGCAAGACATCCTCCAGCCTGGGTTGCTGTTAGCTGGGACCTGTATCAGAATCCTCTACTCCCTGCACACGCGTGGACAGTGCCTTCCGTGACTGTGGAGGGGTGATAGGAAGGCATCCGTGTCTGACCACCCACCATGCTGAACCCCAGAGCTCAGCCACTTCTCTTTAGCAGGTCAGGAGCCAGGAAAGGCCTGCACCCGCTGCCCAAGAGCCCCTCACTGCCCAGCTGGTGGGTACACTGTGGTGATCATCGGGAAGGCCAGTCCCTCCTATAGATTCACCTGGCCTTGAGAGGTCTCAGGACTGCAGACACGACACACTTTTGCCCCACCATCTCTCACCCTCGGCACACATCAGCTGCCCATATAGACACTCTCCCAGCTTTCCTTGGTTAGCCTCAGAATCCTCCTTCTCAACTAAGTGGTCCAGACAAGCAGGACTTGTCAAAGTTAGCATATGAGGGAAAATCCACCGGTCATCCCTGCTTGGGACTTTTCTGTTATTAACAGGACTTGCAGCTCTGGGCCTCGGAGCCCCAGGCCTCACTGTCCAGTGTCCCTCTGCCACAGACTTGTGGGATCCCTCTGGAGGAGAATAGACAAGACAGTCTCTCAGGCCCTTGTTGGCCAAGGGGTCATCTTTGGCTCCCCCTTTATCCCTGGGATCCTGTCCTATTGGCCAGTGGGTGAGAATGCACAGAACAGGCCATTCATGCCCCTCTGGCCCACCTGGACAATAGGTTTCCCTGGCTGCGCTGCGGGAAGAAGACTGCCCAGCTGTCCCGGTAAATTACTGCTATATCCAGTTTGCATGGCACTGTCCTGCTGTTATTATCACAATAGTCACCTAGACACTGCTTGGTTGCCCTGCCACCCCCTCTCTCCCTCCAGCTTGCACAGGAAGGACCTCAAGAACAAGAAAATGCTGGGTATGTGCCCCTCAGGACCTTTGTGGTGGCATTCATGCATCTTTGGAGGATGTCAGAAGCCCTTCAGAGTCTAGAGAGCTCCTCACCTACACCACCCTGTCCTACACATCCAGAACTGGCAGGAACAACCCAGGCACCCCCTCCCCAGCTCCCGCTCAGAGCACCCACTCTCTCTATACTCTCATGTTGCTCTTCTGTGGACGCTATTAAGTACTCCCACCCACCCCACACTCCGTGGCCCTGGGTGGGTGCCCGCTCATCCCCGCCCACCCCATGCTAAAAGCAGGTGGGCAAATCTGGGCATTTCCCACCTGCTTCTCAGGTGAGCATTTTGCAAACAGCTGTTCTGGTCAGTGCCCTAAACAGTACCCCATACAGTGCCTGGCACACTGCAGGTGCCCAGTGATGTTCATTGGCTGACGGCGATTGCCCAATGCTGGTTGGGGAAGAACCCTGGCATCTTTTCCTGTTCATTCTCCCTTCACATTTTAGCTTTCTTTATAGCTATAAAATACTTCTTTATATAAATCACTCAAAGGTATTATGAACATGTTTATGATAAACCAAAACAAGACACTACAAAGTTTTGTATACAGACTGAAATTCCCCTCCTGTCCCTGGAAGTAAGGGTTGTTAACAGCTGTAGGAATCCTTCAGACTACTACTAGGCAACACAACCATGTTTGTGGTCTTGTTTGTTTAACCAGAACGACCTATCACCACACATGCGGCCTGGCAGCCTGCATTCTTGTTGACCTGCAGGAGCCCTCTCCACACACCGAACCTACTTGTTCCTTTAGGACCTGCCAGTTTTCCTTCTGGGAATGGACCAGAGGCCCAAGTGCCCTGCCCCCTAAGGGGTTTGTCTCCAGGTTTTAGCTTACCGAAGGTGCTTCAGTGGCCATCCTTGTAGCTGTGCTTTGCACACTCAGGATTCCCAAAGAAGACTTGCTGGTCCCTCTGTGGCATAGGGCCACAGCTTGGTCTACTAGACACAGTCTTGGGGGGCAGGCAGGCCACATTAGGACCATGGCTGTGGCACACAACAGAAAGTGTCCCAGGACGGAGGAGCCCAGCCAGAGTGGGCTGGCATTCTCCAACAGCTCCCTCCCCTCACCCCTTCCGGCCCCAGGGTGGGGCACAATGACAGCGTCCTGTTGCTAGCTGCTGAGCTAGAACCAACCACAGTATGTAAGCTAGAACCACCCACTAATAAAGTAGCCCTTTATTAAACTTTCCCCATGCTGTCCGCTGTGTGCTCAGTTTCCCACCGGTAGATTCGGAGTCTCCTCTGTCAGAATCACCTGACAAGCCAACAAAGACATTCCTTTCAAACACCTCAAAATTTGGCTGTAATTTCTGGGGCAGAAACAGGTCCATATGCAAGTGGTTCAGACATAGCTTGTCACTCAGCCCTGTTTCCTTCCCAAGCAGCCTCAGCTTTGGGACGCTGTGTCCCTTACGTGTGTCCCCCAGTCAGGTGGTCCCACTGCCCTGTCACCCAGGGTTGTGACCCCTAATAGGGGTTTATTCACACATCCTCAGCTGCACCCAGCCCTCCTCAGGATCCCTAGCAGAGCCAGAAAATGAGCTAACCAGTCCCTTCCTCTGTCACCCCCTGCTCCCTGAGCCTCCACAGTTTTGGTCAGCCTTTCCCCAGCCCTGTAGCCATGTGATGTGACAGAGCCTCCCCAGTAACTCAGAGTGGGGCACTTGCTCCCAACCTCCCTAATCTTGTGTCCTGGGCACCTGCTGGCCTCTCCTTCCCCTGGCCCTGCTTTGGGCCCCTAGAGTGGGTAGGGGGAGGCTGGACATCCATTCAACTCTCACTTCAGCTGAGAGGGAAGATAGGAGCCAGCCCCAAATGAGCCCCACTCTCCAGAGAGACCCAGGGCATCTTAAGCAGGGAGACCTAAGGCTACCTAAGATCTAGGTAACTGGAACACAGAGATGGACAGAGGGTCACTTACATTTATACATTCACATGGATGAGAATCAGCATACCTGAGAAAGGACCAGGTTCACAAGGAGTTCAGAGCTTTCACGGGGGACATGGTGACCAAGGAGGCCCAGAATGGAGACCGAGAGAAGGCATGGGGTGGGGGGAGCTTTTAGAAGAAGCAGCATGCAGCTCAGAAAGGACCCTCCTCTTCTGAGGGAGAAAGGGCTCCTGAAGACTGGGGTGGGGTGGGGAGACCTGGGGACACCATTGCCCAAGAAGCCCAGGACTTCAGGGGCTGCCCTGAGATGAGACCCCCTCCCAACAGCTCCTGGGCTCCTCTGCCATCTGCTGTGGGCTCTCAACGTCACCTTCCATATGTCAGGCCTTCCCATGAGGGAAGTTGATCGGCAGACGGGAAATGTGGCTGTCACACCACCTATGCCTCTTTCCAGGCAGCCCAGATCCTTCCAGGCCTCCGCCCCCACATCCAGACGCCTCCCCAGCATTCAGGACCACCAGCCAGCCACCTGTCTGAGCCTGCACCCCAGCCTGCTGTCTACAGGCCCTTCATTCTGCTTGCTCAGGGACACATGGTGGGTGGTCTGGGAAGCAAAGCAGCCCCAGGGCTCCCTTGTGCCTCACAGGTGGGTGGCATCCCCTGGCCTGAGGGTGCTCTGGGCCTCTGATCACTGGAAGCCACAGCCTGGACCATCTCACAGGCCATGCTTTCAGGAACAAGCTCATCTTGTCTCTGCAAAGGCTGGAAATGACAACCAGGATACCCCCCTGGGACTCCCTAGCTGTAGGGGCCTCATCAATAACTGAATCTACAGAAGGCAGGTGAAGCGGAGGGGGCCCTGGAAGGGAAGGCCCACACACTTACTGTAATCCTTGGCCAAGGAAGTCCCACAGAGATCGCTGTTCACCACTCTGGCCCCGGGGCTGGCAGCCTGGAGGAGGTGCCCAGCCAGGCACTGTCTAGCACAGCCCAAGCAAACAGACTAAAGAACAGCTGTATTGATCGCCCTAGTTTTCTGCCATTGCCTGCAGCTCCCAGGGGCCGACAGATGACAGATGATGGATGACAGATGACAGATGGGGGTCACATGGTCACATCCTGCTTGAAGGGAGTCCTCCTCTGGCCTCTGGTCCCCCAGATCAGGTGGGCATGAGGGTACAGTCAGGACAGGGAAGGAACAAGAAAAGGCCCAGAGTTTCAAGTTGGTCTTAGGTAGGTGTTGAGGCAGAAAGTCCTGCTGTCTTTAAAACACCACGTCTGGGGCGCCTCAGTGGCTCAGTCGGTTGAGCGTCCAACTTCGGCTCAGGTCATGGTCTCACAGTTCATGGATTCGAGCCCCGTGTCGGGCTCTGTGCTGACAGCTAGCTCAGAGCCTGAAGCCTGCTTCAGATTCTGTGTCTCCCACTCTCTCTGACCCTCCCCTGCTCACGCTGTCTCTCTCTCTCTCTCAGAAAAAAAACAAAACAACAACAACAACAAAACCCACCACGTCTGACTATCCCACCTGATGGCACAGTGGTTTGGGACACCAATTTGGGACTTGGGCAGGCTGGGTTCAAGTCCGTGACTCTCACTTATGCTGTGTGACTAAGTGGTCACTGTGCTTCTCTGAGCCCTTTTCTCTGGGCTGAGAAGGGGCAAGCAAGTCATATCTACAGAGTCCCTAGCCCCAGGCTGGGCAGCTGGCGAGGGCTGATGGCTGGAAGCCCTGAAGCCTGTGCAACACTCATGGGCAGAGGCATTGTACCCACACAGTGCCTTTGTGCTAATTAGAAAAAGGTACCCGCGAACTTCCTTAAAGAGTTAGCTATAGAATCGCCATGTGATCCAGAAATCCCCTTCCTAGGAATTGAAAACAAGGATTCAAACAAGTACATGTGCACACATGTTCAGAGCAATGCCAAATGTCCACCAATAGATGAATGGGCAAACAGAATGTGGCTCAGTTGGTTAAGCATCCGATTCTTGGTTTCATCTCAGGTCATGATCTCATAGTTCGTGAGTTCAAGCCCCACATCGGGTTCTGTGCTGACAATGAGGAACATGCTCTCTTTCCCCCTCTCTCTGCCTCTCCTGTGCTCACTCTCTCTCTCTCTCAAAATAAAATAAAAACAAACTTAAAAAAAAAAAAAAGAATGTGGTATATCCATACAATGGAATATTTACAGCCTTAAAAAGGAGTGAACCACTAATACAAGCTACAACATGGTTGAACCTTAAAAAACACTGTGCTGAATGAGGGGCACCTGGGTGGCTCAGTTGGTTAGACGTCCGGCTTCAGCTCAGGTCATGATCTCAAGGCTCCGTGATTTTGAGGCTCACATAGAGCTCTCTACTGTCAGCATGGAGTCTGCTTCAGATCCTCTGTCTCCCTCTCTCTGCCTTTCCCCCACTCACCACTCTCATGTGTTCTCTCTCTCTCTCTGTCTCTCTCAAAAATAAACATTATTTTATTAATGTTTAGCTGTGCTGACAGCTCAGCGCCTGAAGCCTACTTCAGGTTCTGGGTCTCCCTCTCTCTCTACTGTCCCCTGCTTGCTCTTTCTCTCTCTCAAAAGCAAATAGGCATTAAAATAAATAAATATTTTTTTAAAAAAATTAAAAAACCCCACCATGCTTCATAAAAGAAGCCAAATGCAAAAGGCCACACATTATATGAATCCAGTCATATGAAATGTGCAGACAGAAAGGGGATTAGTGGTTGTCAGGGGCTGGAGAGAGGGAGATGTAGGGAGCCACTGCTTAATGGATGTGGAGTTTTCTTTTGGGTGATGAAAATATTTTTGAACTGGATACAAGCTGTATGGTTGCACAACACTGTGAATACACAAAATCTTTCTGAATTGTTCACTTTAAAACAATGAATTTTGTTATGTGATTTCACCTCAATTTAAAAATAGCACTTCTTGGGGTGCCTGGGTGGCTCAGTCAGTTAAGTATCAGGCTTTGGCTCAGGTCATGATCTCACAGTTCATGGATTCGAGCCCTGCGTCAGGCTCTGTGCTGACAGCTAGATCAGAGCCTGGAGCCTGTCTTCGGATTCTGTATGTCTCTCTCTCTGACCCTCCCCTACTCACGCTGTCTATCTCTGACTCTCAAAAATAAATTAAAAATATTAAAAAAAAATAAAAATAGCACTTCTTGCTCAAAGCGTTTGATATCTGTACGTTAGAAAACCGCTGTTAACAAAGTGATTTTTGTGAGACAAGACACCTTTTTACAATTGCTGTCACCACTAATATTCATATCTACCAGGTCTAAGCTGGGAATCCTGCCCCCTTTGATGTGTACCCTTGTGCAGTGCACATTCTGTCCAACCGCAGCTGGCAGACCTGGTGTCTGGAAGTCCCCCAGGACCAGGGTGGCCAGTCCATTTTACAGTGAACAAATAGAAGTTTGAAGGAGGTCAGTCTCTTCCTGGTTTCACACTAGTGAGGTCTTTTCACTTTAGAATGATGCAAAGAACGTAGGCTCTCAAGCCTGCCCACAGCTGAAGGGATGTGTGACCTGGAAACATGTCTTCATCTGTGGAGTGGGGGTAAATGCTGGTCTGGTGGGAGCATTAAAGGACATTCTAGAAAAATGCTCCTCAGTGAGCAGGACCAGGGGCTGCTTCTACCCAAGGGCTGGCTTAACTTATCCTCAGCAATGTTTTGTTTTTTGATATAACAGCCTTATTGAGATATAATTTACCTATCATGCAATTCACCCATTTCAAGTGTATAATTGCATAGTTTTTAATGTATTCACAAATTTGTGCAAAAATCACCACTATCTAATTCTATGACATTTGCAAAAATACTCAATGACCATTAACAGTCACTCCCATTCCTCTTACCTCCCTATGCCCCCCAGACAACGACCAACCTACTTTCCATTTCTCTTTTTTAAGTTTATTTATTTATTTTGAGAGAGTGAGAGAGAGAGAGCGGC